TAGGTAAAACCCAAAGAAACCATAGATCCATCGCTGGGTGAGACGCAAAAATATAAAATGTCCGTTCCAGGACCTGGACATTCGGAACAGGTTCGTTCCGAGTCTTTTTTTTACAACTTGAATTTAGAAGTCACTAGAATTTCTAAAGCTTAACATGAATTTAAAAATCTCTGTATTATTTGTTGATATTCGCCTACTTCTAGGAACAAGAGCTACACAAGAGTCTTCTTCGCGATGAAGATGATTTGGATTCAGAGGTTGAAGGAGCACTTGCAACTGGTAAAGCCATCTTCTCCGTTTATGTTCACATCATACCTCGCCCGCACTTTGTCACGCACGCTTGCGTCACAGTCGCGCTGCGGCATTCTTTTGACTGATTAAAAAATAGGGGATATGCTGTAACCGTAGGCAAAAGTTTGGGTAATGTACTTAGGGAGGGTATATTTTACATCTTCACATATGATTTGTAGTAAACTGACTCTTTTTATAACCTTGTCCCTTCATTCTCCCTCCTTCCCACTCCTTTCCCTTCACTTTCATTACATAAATACGACCCACAACTTCATTTTCTCCATTCCAGGCAATTTGTGCTTATCTTAGCTGAAATGGAAAAGCGATAAAAAGCACATTTTTTCACCAGTAGCGGAAGCAAACTTGCATTTTTTAAACCCTTCTCCTTCTTTACTGACCCTACGGTACCTCTCCTACGTTGACTATCGTGGTCGTGATATTCCCCTTCATGCTTAGAAAATAGTATAAATAACCTTTTCACCCTGTCTACGTCGCGAAATAAAAATAGTAAAAGTACTACAATGCTAACAGATTGTTTTTTCATGTTTGGCATTTGTCCAATTTTTGTTTTTAGAGCAAATCAAGCCCTCCGTCCCTCCATCTGCATTTGCTAAACATATTCAGGTAAATTCCCCTTCTCCGTATTTTTCATATTTCTTAAATTCCACCCTTTCCAGGATCCCGAACACGCGGCCCTACGGAAAGAGTACAGTAATCCGGCTGCACAACGTCCACGTCCAACCACGCCTACTCAGTCGTGTGCACTCGAGAGATTCGCCTTCAACGCTCCCTCTGATGGCATGTTTTCCTGGATTTGAGCGGGGAAAAAAAACGAAGCACGTCTTATTGACAGCTTCGTTCACACATTTAGACAAGGGATTCGAAGGAGAATGGGTTTGGAAGGCTAAAATGGAAAGAATAGGAAATTTTGGGATGAGAAAATACATCAAATGCTTGAAAATCTCTTT